TATATATATATACTATATATATATACTATATATATATACTATATATATATACTATATATATATACTATATATATATACTATATATACTATATATACTATATATACTATATATACTATATATACTATATATATATACTATATATACTATATATACTATATATACTATATATACTATATATACTATATATACTATATATACTATATATACTATATATACTATATATATACTATATATACTATATATATACATATATACTATATACATATACTATATATATATATACTATATATATAAACTGCAATAATTAAAGATAGCTTGCGCACAAAAACGAAATGCTTAAACTGACTTAATTGTTGTACTTGTCTATTGTGTACTTATTGTTCTCATTAGTTATATATAGTATATAACTTATCATGTATATAAACATAAGTGCTATATATAGCTACCTCTGTCGTTCAGGGTGCAGCAACCATTTTATCACATGTTTATTCACAGTGAAAATTGGACTGCACTTTGGAGTTTTTTGTCCAAAGCAATTTCCACTTGAACCGTCCGAAAAGAATCTTTTCGCAGCCTTTCCAACTTCTGCTGGGTCGGTCGGATCGTCCGCTTGAAAACCCATTGACGTCATACTGGCCACTTGTCCATTATAGGCATCAGTGAACAGGTTGTAAAATTGAGTTGGGTATGATCCTGTACATGCGATTGCAACATTCCCTGCTTTTGTTTTTCCACAGCCTGGACTCCCAATAGCAATGACAAGTGGACAAAAGCCAATCAGTTTCTGCCACTAAAAATAGAAGTTGTTTTGTAGGTCAGTTTTTACTGTCTAAGAGTTGATGAAACTACAATATGAAATAATTTTTACTCGGTGGGAATGCAACCACCTGAAAAATTCAACGAGAAATCCGACGTTTGGAGGGAAGGATCTTCGTCTGGAAGTTAGTTTGCTATATACTGAATTCCCGACGAATTGCCTAGGCACTATACCTGCACTATATAGCTGGTGAAAAAATTTTAAGACTGATCTTTTCAGTATAAATTATAATCTACCTTCCTAAATTATGAAACGTGAAAGTTCCAGGAGCAACAATAATTATTAAATTTGAACATTGTCAATGCTGCCAAATTAATTTGCTTATGAAAACTCGCTCATGTTACAATGGCTCTTCACCTGATAAAACTATTACTACAATATCTATAAGGAAATAGTGCATGAGAGATTTGTGAATATAGACCTAAGCATTACAATTAAATAGTAAGACAGCGTTGTTTTAAAATGTTAAAGGTTTGTCTAGAGAAGCGGCTATAGTAGAGGAAATATGAAGTAAATGCAAATAAAGTTGCAACTATACAGTTGAAACTTATCCGTAAAATGATCGTAGTCCCCATTTTAAATTACACATTCACCTACCTCTGCAAAGTTGGACACAATTGCTGCAGAGGATATTATAAAAAACTGGGATAGAAAATTGCTGCGGCTATTTTCTCCAGATTCTGTAATTATGGTCCCATCAGCATTCTAAATAATATGTACATTTGTGAACTGACATGCAGACGGACTGCGAAAAACTGATAAATTGCTGTCTACACTATGAATATTATCACAGTTTAGGTACGAAGTTGCGAAGATTTGTCTTTACAATAACAATTGAAATACTTCTTTAATTAATCAAATTAATTTAAATCACTGAAGTATGAAGAGTTTGAAATGTTTGATGGGTGTCATCATGGATAATAAAATAGAATAGTTATTTTACAATCCATGGTGTCATTGACATTGTAGTCCATTCTGTGTTGTCGGTGATTTGAAACGGCCTATATGAATGCACTGCGTGATTGATGGCAACAATTTAAAGAACCGAGAAAATATATAGCTAATGTTGCCTTAAATGCTTTTTAATGCGAATAGAACCATATCAAATTATTGTATTTGCATGATTTCGCATGCCGGGACAGTACTTTGCGTTGAAGCTGAAACGGGGTGTCAGTCGCGTGCATAACCATGCATGCAAGACATTCTCTACTCCTGAGAGATATAAAATTGCCAAATACGAATCTTCATTACACTCCACTGATGTTTTCTCAACATATCGAAAATTCTTCACTGGTTTTACTAATTAACATCTCTCAAGATTAGAATTGCATTGCAAGTTGCAAGATGTAACATGGCCTTTACGGTTGAACAAAATTATTTAAATTTAATATGTATATATACCTCCTCTTCATAGTTACGGGCAGTATATTGAAGTGATGTTGGCAGCATTGTATTCACTGCGTCTCTTATATCCTGATTACCAGAAATATATGTTCCTAGTGACCCATTGAGAAAGTGGCACATGATATCAAACGATTCAAATCCAAGAGGCAATTTAATATTACAAGCATGTTCGTGTTTGGCCACGTGCACTCCGTCTCCGTTTGTTAGCTGGCCTAACCACACCAGTCGAAAGTCCTTTGGGTCTACTAGCTGCCCTTCAGCATCAATCGCCACATCTTCGTTCAAAACCCAGATTGGAACTTCTGCTCGGTTATAATTTTTGCCAATTATCCGTACTGCCTGAGGGATCTCACTCTCATCCGTGCCAGTTACTCGGTCGGATAATTCGGTCAAAAGTTTGTTGAGGCGCGAGTTAGTCAGTTCGATCATATAATTTTTTAGAGCTGGAGAATTGTAGTTCAACTCTTTTGTGAATTCGCTTAACTTCGTAAATGAGGTTATGCGGCAGAAGAATCGTCTGAATGTAAGGAAAACAAATATTTAGCGAGAAAATACAAGCGACTATAAATTGAGTTTATTCTACATTTATTTATTGTAACGAGAAATTTCAGCAATTTACCAATGGCAATGGGAGCTTCCAAGCTGTATGGAATTCGTAATAAGTCAATAAAAGTTCATTCATGTTATTAAATATCGTTATTAAAGACTTTCATATTTAGGCAATGTTAATTTTCTCGATATAGCATTATAGGTTTAAAATAAAACATTTAGGCCCCATTCACAGGATACCTGATTCGCATCGGAGCGACATCAAATTATACTGCTTCGAGGTGAATTTGGCACTTAAAATTATGATAATGTACCATATTAATTAAACAAAAACGGCATATATGAAAAGTTGTAAGAGCAGACATGACTGGAAAACACCTTAAATTGATGTCGCTCCGATACGAGACTGGTATCGTGTAACTGGGGCCTTAAACAACCAGTCAGCGGGCCTTGTTTTGTAATCTTTATAATAATTTTGTCCCTTTCATCTTTACGCCTGTTATATAGATAATTCAAGCACAGGATTTGTATGGTATTTAACGCAGCATGTAGACACTGTACGGTTGTTTTTATCACTTTACCCTTTCTGTTTTGGTGTTATATGCTGCGTATTGGCTGATGATCGTTCAGACACGCATTTGACAATACTGTCCAAATTACATGGATAGAATAACAACATTCATTAAACATATCAGAACATGCATGAACTTTCGATTAATTTTATTAAACTCAGTATATAATAGAGATTACTTGTACTTACTTTTCGATACCATCTTTGTGAGTAGCCACCCCAACGTAACCGCTTCCATTGTTACCGACCTCCACTGGATACAGAAAACGAATGGTAAAGTTTGATACGTAGTCCTTACTTCCTTTAAACTTGTACCTTCCGTCGTGAACCACAAGATTACCACAAGCACTCATTGCGAAGAGAAAACTTAAAAATTTTATGACTAAACCCGCTAATTTGTATAGGATGCTTCCTCTCGGCCAAAAAAGTGTTATGATTTCGTGTCTACGTTCCCACTTCTATTTATGTCAAATCAATGAGATGTCAGGCGTTGGCTCGTGCGCATCTGATTGGCTCAGAGGCAAAATGCATTTACACAGTCAAAGCATTCAACACGCGATCGTTAAATGGCAAATATTTGTTTGCAATAGCAATATATTTTAAATTTTGGTATATGCAGATGAATTTTCGACATCATCATTTTTAATATATTATTATGCCAACTCATGTTAGAATTAGCATACGCTTAGTAAGACTCTGGTTCAGATATTATTGGATATTTCCTTTCATTTAATTAAAGTTCCTTACAGTATTTAATTGTTACTAAAATTTCCATTCAAAATCAAATGTCATTCAAGCTGGCATATACTATAGGAATCCGTTTCAGTGCCGTGCTCTTTACTTTTCATTGCAACAAACTCACAACAGAGTCAGAGTGAAGAAGCATATATTTGGTAAAAGTAGGCTAATCAGTATATACAGTCTTCTTTGTCACAGATATACTTATCTTGCAATTATCAGTTAACACATAACATGGCGTGCGCAATGCGTACTCAACCAAAAGGAAACTACACCTTTCCTAATTAAAATGATCAATTAAGGCAATGGCAAATATCACGCCTTTTCCATATGTTTACACGCATGTACGCAAAAGCTTAAATGAATCCTTTTAATTTGAAATTTAAACGTTTTTATGACTAAAAATTTTAAAATTAAAACTATTTATTTAAATTTTTCTCGTGAAATAAGTAAAATTGTAATAATAAATTTACGTGGTGTTTCCATAGACAAAACTATTATATATATTTTATCGCCATGCAAAAATACAGAACTTATTAAGTAAAATTTTATTTAAAACGACCACAATTTGTAGCACAAGTAAGCGACAGGAGTGTGAACAGGATAAAATCCCAATTGACATCCTCGCGAAAATGTGTATTTGTTAAGATAACTTACGATACTTATATAAAATTCAGAACGTTTTACACTTTGATAGATAGATAGATACTTGCGTATACAGCTATTTCAATTAAGGTTGTCCGCGAGCAAAGCGGAAAAGTCGAATTCGAGCGCGAAAGCTAGGCCGCTGGGAAAATAATTAATTTTTAGCGATTCCGCGGCAGCAGCATTTCGCCCTCGTATTCGACTTTTCCGATTTGCTCGTGGACAACCTTAATCCTTAATTGACAAACCAGCCTTTAGGGTATATCTTATCTTTAAATGCCTGATTGATGACAAGAACTCAATTAGGTATTAAATATTGCACGCGAATTTTCCAGAAACGCCGTCTCTTTAAATGTGTTTGCATGTTTAAATGCCTTGTCTCTGCATAATATTTAAATATGAAGAAATTTCTTGAAGCACGCAGAGAAAAGAAAAGAAGGATTGACGAATGTTGGGTCGCATTAAACACGGTTCGTTCTTCCAGCCTTAATGATATTGTTCAAGCCAAATGGCAAGAAGAGGATATATTAGCGTTCCTTAGTGCGAAATACGGTCATTCAACTGTAGAGATAGGACGATACGCTTTGAAAAACTTCCCACCTAACGAGTTATGTCCTCGTGCGACAAATTCTACGACAGAACTTGGAGTTCTCTCTACGATTATCAACGCTGGTGTGCCACAAAATGAAGCAAAACAGTTTATAGAGCTACTAAGTGAGTGTGAAAATTTCTTATCATTCACCATGAGTAAAGCGCTAGAAGAGAACTCGAAAAAACTAAGTGTTCCTAGACCTAGCATTCTTCTAACGCCACCGAACAAGCTGATTGATGACGGTTGTTTGGTTTGTAGTTCGACACTGGCAATGCACAATAACAGTTGCGCAGTAACTATATTTACCATTACTGGGCCAGTTCGGGCAATGAAAGTTTGTTGGAAATGTACCAATTGTGGTTTGAATTACAATTACTCAATGTATGGCAGCACTGAAGCTGGATACAAGTTTTACAAAGACGCACGGCCTTTGATTGAAGCTTCCAATGTAACGTATGTTGAACGAATGGTTTGTAACTACCAAATACATCTTGCGTAAGTACAATTTATAGAAATATCTAATAGAATGTTTACTGCAAAACGTGCATGCATGGACGCTATATCACAGGGTGTATAAAAACTGCACAGTTTTCCCAGTCGTCTCTTAATAAAAAAATACGCTTGTATTTTTTAATAAGAGTCAGCACTCAACTGCAAATACCGCCAAAATTTGTGACAACTTTATATAATCATGGGTAGTTTGGGGTCATGCTGGTATCTTCACAACTAAAATTATTTTGGGCGTAAATTTTCGAGTGCAGGGATTGTTTAAAAAACCGACTTGCGCACAAAACAGAGTAAGGCTTGCATGGAAGGCTTGCATTTGAATTCATTCAAATGTATAAGGTGTTTCATGAGCTCTCGAAGTAACAGACAATTTGATGTAGCTACATTATATGAAGTCCAACGTGCGACCTCTAAAACTTTTCCAAAGTATATGGCCTTTCTGCCGTTTCATGCATAGATTTTAACCTTTTTAAGAATTCCATCATGCATATACACACTTAAAGGTTTCATAACTTTTTCAATCATCCTCGTTTTGTTGTCAACACTACTTTTTCTATATTTATATAAACTGATCAACAATAGCAACCATGCCTGGGTATCGTTTGAAGGATTTGCAGAAGCTTTTAACTGTGCAATCAAGAAATTTAGTACATTTTCCCAACATTCTGAAGACAGTTTATGTTCACTGCTGTCGAGAGGTAAATATGTGTAGTTCATGGCTGTGATGCAAGTAGATCAGTGGACATCTACCCAGATTACAATTTAACACTTCTTAGATATGCAAGGTATTCCAGAACAAGGCAGTCAGCTGGATCGTCGCACAGTCTCAAGCGCATTTTATTGGCATGAAATTGAAGATGAATTAAGAAAACGAAATTTGTCAGAGTGGGTATTCACAGGAACTAAAGACGAGAACTTGGATGCCGTTATGAAGTACATTGACCAACTTCGATGTGGTGAGCTCTACAGTCACACTGAGGAGGATTGTTCTGATGATTGCAGGAAAAGAGGTAATAAAAATTTAACGATGATCATTCCGTTGTCTGGCCTAATCTATATAGATATATATACAGTAATAGTATTGCTAAAAAATCACATTCATGCAAAACACTAGGTTGTTCCAACTTTGTATCTATGGATGGTATTTGGAAACTTCGTTTTCCCCACTGCATGTACCCAGTGAAAACAACGATTTCTGGACTTCCTACGGTTAACTATCCTGACATTTGTCCTAAGGAACCGATTTCCAGGACTTCCGCTTTTTGCAAAGAACATTGTGAGATTGCGACAACCAAAGGTGTTCCAACGGAGCTGCGAAAGTTTTTGCACAAGTATTGCGGTATACCGAGAAGTAATGATGGTGAGTGACGTTACAACGTCGTGTAGTGATTAGGCATAACACCATATTCTCTTATTTAGGCAACCTTGTACTTATGTCTTATAACGTTGTCAGGACAAGAGGAGAGTTTAATCCAAGATCGAAGGAACATCTAGGACGACAGACCATACATGACGACGTCATATACATCTAACCGTACAACTATTGAGTAATAACCCTGAACAATAATATATGGTGTTTTTTTAGCAAAAATATGCAAATTTAGAATTTCGAGATCGCAACAGTAATTGCTTAACTAGTCACGTGATTATAAGTAATTTTTACTTCTGTTCAAAATCTCTTTTAAAAGCAAAAGTTTGATCTGAACGTCTACAAAGACAAAAAACATATTGATGTTGTACATGCCTAATTTAGGGGCGCTTCCATTAACACGGCCAGGCCAGTCAAATTGTTGAATGGAAGTATGGAACACAAGACATTCGGGCTTTGGACCTATCTGACCGGAAAATTTAGATAGAATTAGAATGAGGTCCATTTTCGCTAGATATTTTAGAAACATAGACCAGATTTTTCCATTGATACAGAGACAAAAATTCGGGTCTAACCGGTCAGGCCATTGAATGGAGAGCGCCCTAGATTTCCACCTCTAATTTGGAGTGCAAATTTTGTCGTCCAAAATGGAAGTCAATGCAATGGACCATTTGCATTATAGACTAAATTTTGATCTCAACAAAAATTTCATCACAGCTTGAAAGAGCATCACAAAATTAGTAATATTCCAAAGTTTCGTTGCGAAATGTTGTAAAATGCGGATAATATAGCCTTGCGAAATTTGCAATTTTCAGTCATTTTAGATTACAAACGGGAAATTGACAGCCCAATCGGGTGATGGGGCATCAATTTCCTGTTTGTAATACAAAATGACTGAAAATTGCAAATTTCGCAAGGCTATATTATCCGCATTTTACAACATTTCGCAACGAAACTTTGGAATATTACTAATTTTGTGATGCTCTTTCAAGCTGTGATGAAATTTTTGTCTAGATCAAAATTTAGTCTATAATGCAAATGGTCCATTTGCTGATGCCAAATGTTATTCCTGAAGAAACTTGACATGGTCACTATTGATATGCATATTTGTCGTTTACCCCAAGCCGGCGCTGACGTTGAAATTCAAAGTTTCCGTATTTCTACGTGACACATACATTTCCTCTGTTTTCCATGCTTACTCAGTCTTATTATAATTCAGTGAAATGACATCATCATGCAAGGGATCTATATGGCCTTTTCTGCAAATTGGTTGCTTTGAAATTGATCGTTTTTGAAACCATTGAAGACAGTTGCTCTCCCCCTATTTTAGCATGCAGATCTAAACACTTGTGCTCCTTATTGACCGCAATTTCCTTACTTTTCTACACAATTATCAGGAAAGAAAGAACTGTCACACGTAGATATGAATGTCAATTCCTCGGATGTTCAGAGAGTGGAAACGACAATAAAAAATCTGAAACCACAGACCACAGCTTCCGAAGTCACTGAAATGCAAGGTAAGTATGAATGTATGGGATATTAGATTTCCTGATTATTTGATCCCAATACTTTTCAGAGGATGGTTTGTCATGTTGCAAGCTGCGGTTTACTTAAAACAGTGTAACATAATATAATAGACTTGAAAGTTCAAATCTTACAGTACATGGTGAGAGTTGTGGAAATGGATGATCCCTATTATGTTTGCAGTGCACAATGAATGCGTGTGCACAATTAATTCTGCTTCAGAATAACTCTTGATTTATTTGCAACCACGGGACAATAGGGACAACCACGTTTCTTTCTGAAAACCCAGAATTATTAAACATAAGCCAACTCGAAGCTGAAAATAACGACCCATGCAATAAAGACACTGGAGAAAAACAAAAAAGTTTGCAGAAATGGTCCCGTGGTCTTTTGCATTATGTTCGCAGTGGTGGCCATATTGACAGATGGAATCCTTTGTTTGTGTAAGTGCATGTCAATTTTCAATTATAAACATGTTGATAGTGACAAGAGAAGTGTCATTGCCATAGTAATATATGCCAAATTTTATTAATTTATAAAATATCATCATTTTAACACTTTTCTTAAAAATCTTGCTCTCACCGCGACGTCATTATGTACAAATTTCCCAAATTTTTGTTGCGTGCCATATATGGCATGCAACTTTCATATAGCTCTAAATTTTGTGTCGTGGTAAGCGTACCAGTCACATGGCAAATTCGTAAAGTACAACAAATACCGAGTTTTTCCGACGAGCATTTTAAAGTGATGTGAACACATCACCCACATGCACGTTTTCGTCGAGGAAAGGCAAAGCAAAATATATTGATTGTTCGCGGAAAATTGCAAATATGGTGTTATTTACAATCCCTAGGTTTTTATGGCATGCAACTTGTGCGCACTGCGTACCTATTTTTATAAATAACAAAAAATGAGGCAGTTACGCCACTCACTCCCCACACCCTGTCCTACCTCTAAATAACTAATGATTTAAGTTTATAATGCCAAAGAAGTGATATACCGCTCTAGGGGTGAGGGTGGGTAGCTGTCAACGCCCAACTCGCGAACGGACATATTCTCCCGTACTAAATTTAACGAGGGACTGAATGTACTGCCTCGTCCCCAGTTGCTTCAAGCGTATTCCGTTTGGGGAGTGTATGGTTAATTCATTTTATGACTAGGCACGTATCCCATCATGCATTGCGGCATGTTCTTTTTCTCGACCACTGATCTATATATACGTGTCACTAATATATGCGTCAAAATAGGAGCAGGTACGTACACGCTTAAAGGAGATGTAATGTGATGTTAAATGTATATGATATTAGATAATATGTTTGTGTATAGAGCTGCAGTCTATAAAATCTAAATATTATTTTCGGCAGGGTAAATCCGGTAATTATATTTTAGTAACGATAGGTCACACTATTAAAACAAATGTTTAACTATTTCACTTTTCAAAATACTTGCATAGTTGTTGACAACCAATGTTTTATTTGCAGGTCTGAATCCACAGGACAAGTATTCCTTTTGACTTTACACTACCTCTATGAACGCCTTAAAGACGTCCCACAAGATCAATGGGAAAATTTTATTCTCTCATATGATAACATGTGCAACTTGTGCAAACTTCGTGGTGCTAAAGTAAACCTTCCCCTGCCATCACCTTACGATTCACTTTGGCTAAAGATAAGGAAAGTAATTGATCGCCTTCATCTGCGAAACCACAAAAATGAATTATGTCACACACTGTATTCATCTGAGCCGTTAAAAGTCGAGTATCCAGAATTAAATACAATGGTTGCTGAGCAGACATTTGCGTGGGCTGCGCGATACAAAAAGATCCTAAACGCAATGCCATTGAGGAGGTTTCTTTTTTATTATCATCGCATGGTTATTCACCGTAACAAATACACATCAGACTGTCACAAACAAAAGAAAACTCCTCTCCTCCCCAAAATTAGAACAGTCTCATGAGAGTAAACCTTGACTCTTGTTCTTTACAGTTTTGTGAATTTTCGTCTAGTTTTTTCCTGCTTAAGTTAAGGTTCATGTTGCGTGCCATGCAGGGCATGGAGACGTTAAAATCAACGCATTAAGTATATTTAACATCAAAAGCCGAATGCATTTAATTAGTTAATGCATGTGTAACTACTTTGGTTGAAATACTGACTAGAGATTATATTTGCATGAACTGACTACTGTAACGTTTTAAGTCAAGAACAACCGAGACCCAATCACAGTGACTCATGAGTTGAGACCACTTTGGCACTTAATCTCTGACTCTGTTGTTACCAATTTACTAAAATACTTTGTAGAGTTCTGTAGTATTTTGTATGGCTCTAAGGGAAAGTACATTTATTACACCGAGGGAGGGGGATGAAGATGTATTGAAAAAAGCTCATATTTTTACAGGGCCCCTGTTGAGATTATTGGTAAATTTCGATCCCCCCGTCTCCTCCAAGTTTTTAAAATTTTCAATGCCCCCCCCCCTCTAGAATTCGGAATCGAAGGAGTACAATCCGGAATTTTCTCTTATCATAGATACAATTTGCAGTTCCTCTAGATATACTCAAGCATGTGCATCCCCTAAACAAAACTACCAGTCTGCTGCTGCTTTCACCTCACTAGCGCCAGATGAAATGGCAGCGTCTTAAAAAAAAAAATTGGCTCTAGGGGCGAAACTATCAACAGGTGTTGTTGTCCATGATTCAGCGTACTGTAATTGGAGTACTGAACATGTTCATGTAGTGGCCCAGGATTTCCTGGATCAGGGTAATGTGCTGGAACCTTACAGAATGACGCCCCCCCCCCCACCCAACGTATCTCCCGGCATCTTGTCTTTGCATGCCTGTCAATTTCATGCTTCAATTTTGTTAATTTTCATACCATTTGTACTAAATATCCCATGAACATAGAACATATCTTTCTTACAAATCGTATGCTTTTTTGTTTTTGGAACTGCTACTTTTTGGAAAAGAAAATATTTCGGTGCCCCCC